CCCCCCCAAAACCAGGGGTGAGGTCCCGATGTCATGGACCAAGAGAGATTCGTCGTTGATCTTTGATAGCTATGGCCAATACGTCTTAGTGGGTGCAAATGGGACCTTTTCCCCCCGCTCGCACTCAATTTGGTTGTTGTTCGTCGGCCGCCGACAAAAACCAATTTCCCCTTCGTGGAAATCCCCCTCCACCTGAACTCTGAACTTCTTCCGAGTATTTCAAATTTTCAATGATCGCTGAACGGTGCAAGTCACTGCTTGCAAAGGACTGAACTCTGAACTTCTTCCGAGTACTTCAAATTTTCAATGATCGCTGAACGGTGCAAGTCACTGCTTGCAAAGGACAGAAAGAGGAGACAAAAAGCCTGAAAAAGGCGCTTTTTTTTCCCTTTTTTTGTATTTTGAAATTCTTAAAACTTTAAAACAGAAGCATGAGCATGTGCATGTGCATGGGCATGTATCTGTAAGACAGCAGCTGGAGAAGTCAGGACTTACTTGGCCGACACGAGCAAGGAGGTACAACGCCAAGGCTCTCCGTCGAGCTCGATCATCAAGAGAAAATAAAGATACACCTGCGACAGTTCCTGCAACAAAGCTGGACCCCAAACGCGTTACTGAGATGATTTTATTTTATTTTTTTATTTTTTTTGACTGAGATGATAGCGAGTGATCCTTTACGAAGTTAATAAGAAAACAAATCATACCTTTCTCTTTTTTAGGAAAAAAATACTATGATTCCGTTATTACCTGCAGGACACACGTCTCTTTGTTCTGTGCGTGAAAGAAAAAAACAAAAAGAAGAGAAAAGGTAGGCTGCGCAGTTTTCACGTGGCCCATCGGATCGGATCGACGATCTGCCGAGCACGATCGTCAAGGGGTTGAGATTCTTCAGAATACAACAACAAAAAATGGGCCCAAAGTAAAGGGGGGTGGGGAATACAAGCCCATGGGGTCATTTCAGGGGTCGGGAATACAAGGAAATGGGGTTCATTTCATTGGGAATGCAAGAAAACCCGCCCCACAGCAAAGAAGCGGGGGGTGAGGGCCTGCAGGCCACAGGTCGGCTCCGGCCCCAGACGCCACTACAGTAGGGCCCTGACAGTTCTCATGCCCCCTAAAGCAGAATTTTCTGGGCCTGAGAATTTTCCGAGTTCGACCTGGTAGGCCCCACAAAACTCTGCGTTAAGGGGGGGGGGGGGGGGGGGGGCGAAGCTTCTGGGTGCAATCAACCAGTAGAAGGCCCAGCCAGAACAAAGCCTACCCCTCAGTCCATCATCTAGCCTGAGGAGGCCCGCTGGGACAAGATAGTCGGAAAGGCGTCGCCCGGTCATTATCGCCGTATTTGGGACGACTTTCGATCTAAAGATACAACGAAGACCGTAGCCTGGTGACTGGATGAGGTCCCAGAGTCCCAGTGGTCCCAGAGTCCAAATGGTGCTTTGCTTTTCCAACTGCCTGGCGGGCTGCTGGAAAAGTAGTGCTAGAGCAGCACTGTACTACTGCATGCCACATAGCTGGAGAGAGAGGAGCGAGGCTGCTGGAGAAGCAGTGCCAGAGTCCCAATGGTCCCAGAGAGTCCAAATGGTCCCAGAGAGTCCAAATGGTCCTTTGCATGTATGATAGCCAGATGGTTGTCCTCTGATGGTCACCATGGTTCGAACTCGGAACCTCATGCCCTGGTCTTCCTTTTGCTGTCGCTTTCTCTCGCCGTTGAGCACTGGATTTCATCGCCAGTCTAACGCCAGAGCTGTTTGAGTGTGATATCTATTTGGGGAATCGGTGCACTGCATTCAAGTCAATTGCAAAAAAGGTAGGAATGAAAAAAACGAGCGGCCAAAAAAAAAAAAAAAAAAAAAAAAAAAAAAAAAAATAAGAGCAAAAAAAAAAAAAAAAAAAAAAAAAAAAAAGGTGGAGCAGGGAGAAAGGCCGAAAGCAGATGCCTGTCCAAGTCAGGCAGGCGATACCAGCAAAGCCAAGCAAGCCAGGCAGTTAGACAGAATGGTCCGAAGTTCGAACTCACATATGAAAGGATGAGGATATAACCGCAAAGCGAGACGGAGATGATTGGAATGTTTCAAACTTAGTCAAACCATCAGTACACTACACGGCCCTACATCAGCGGCTGCGAGCCCCTCACCGCATGTTTCAGAGACCCGAAAAGCGACGCCCCATTCAATTTGACGTTCTATCAGCGGCACACCTGGCCCGACATTTCCACAAGGCTGGGGCCATGTAGTAGTGGTTTAAGGAAAGGTTCCCCTTCCCTTTAAGCAAAGCAAGCCAGACGGTTAGAATGGTTCGAACTCACATCTGAAAATGGGTATACAGTATATACTATATAACCGCAAAAGCAAGACAGAGATCGTTGGAACGGTTCAAACTTACGTATGCATGGGGGTTTCCCTTCCCTTAAGACGCCTCAACAAGCAGCGAGTAAGATGATACAGGCCAGTGAAGCCGCCAAACAACATCCCCGTACGACAGGCCTCCTCCCGGACAATCAGGTTCTTCTCCGATAACAGCAACTGTATTGAGCAACCACAAATGAGGCGCACGACTGTTCGTTAGAACGCAGAGACGATACACGACTCACAGGGACGATTCCAAAAACCAACATTTTCCTAAGTAAACAAGCAAACAAACAGACAGACAGACACCTGAGAATCCCCTGGGGAAAAAACTGGACATATATGTAGGTAGGTAGGTAGAGTGAGGTATTTGAGTGAGAAACGACAGTGGGGGCAAGGTGTGGTACCACTATCCCTTCCACCCGTTGCTGGGAGTTAGGCTCAACCCTGAGGGGATAGGCTCAACCCATAACCCTTAGTGGACTTTGCTTGTGATCCATATGGCATATAAAAAGAGTGTAGCATTCCAGCATCGGTAGGTAGGTGGGTAGTGGGAGGCATATTGAGAGAAGAACATAGATTAGTTTTAAATTAAAAAAAAAAAAAGACAGTGCTTCAGAGCAAGCACTACTGCTGAGTGTACGGAACAGGCAGGTGAGCCCTGAGGCCCCTGCCAATTCTGTACCCATCAGGATTTAAACTCATGACCTGTATGACCTGTATGACACTTTTACCATTGTGTGTGTACCATTCACCCACAAGATAATAATTACTTCATGCAAGCCAATTGTGCGCGAAGATGATGGCGAGTCGACGCTAACTATATTGGAGATTGGAGAGTAGCGCAACTAATTCCATTGGACACAGCAGCAAACGACACGCCGATGCTCAGTTGGGCGGTTCTTGCTTCCAGAATTGCTACTCAACAGGTAATGATGGGATTTGCATTACGGTATCAGATACAGAGGCCGATGCTAAGCACTGCCTCCATAGCGCTCAAGTAGAGTGTTCAGTCCACAGAGGGAGAGAGAGAAAGACGAGTTTTTAAGTGCATGACAAAGAGACAGTAATGCCGGGACTCAAAACATATACAGGAGGGAACTCCGAAGCTGTCAGCATAACGCCAAGCAAAAAGTAGGGAACTCTGAATTCCATTGGCAAAAGCTTACAGCTTCCTTACTGCTGGGAGAGAGAGGGTTCTCTTATACACATCTAGATGTGTATAAGAGACAGCTGCTGGAGAAGCAGTGCCAGAGTCCCAATGGTCCCAGAGAGTCCAAATGGTCCCAGAGAGTCCAAATGGTCCTTTGCATGTATGATAGCCAGANGCCCGGTCATTATAGCTGTATTTGGAGCAACTTTCAGCCTAGATACAATGATAACGACCGGGCAATTTCTTCCGGTTGGACGGATAGACAATATCCAAAGTACTGCTGTGTTCACCCGAAAAGAGCGCCCGGTCATTATAGCTGTATTTGGAGCAACTTTCAGCCTAGATACANAGAGAGAGAGAGAGAGAGAGAGAGAGAGAGAGAGAGAGAGAGAGAGAGAGAGAGAGATGGACAGACAGGTCGACAGACTGGCGGACAAGCATTCAGACAGACAGAGGCAGAGACAGACAGAGACAGACAGAGAGAGAGGGGCACACGGACTGATGGACGAGCAGCCCCCCAGAGCGACAGAGAGAGACGGACAGAGACATATAAAGAAAGACAGGAAGAGAGAGACACGACATGGACACAGACAGAAAGAGACAGGGCAGGGAAAGGGGGGCGAGGGGGGGGTGGCGGGCGGGGCTGGGAAGGGAGAGACTGACACACACACACAGAGAGAGAGAGAGAGAGAGAGAGAGAGAGAGAGAGAGAGAGAGAGAGAGAGAGAGAGAGAGAATACCTGGAAGTCGAGAACTGAAGAAGGGTGATTCCGTACAAGTCTAAGCGCACGAATGAGAACACCAATCCCCACTCTGACACCATATGCCAGAAGAAAACTTTGGAAGAGGCTTCCTACACCATGAGCAAAGCAAGAATCCGAGTGCTGGCAAAGGGGATGGTTCCCATCCCACAAGTAGATGCCTCGAGGGTTTTTCCCGCCATGTGCCCGTTTGTTGTGCATCTCCTCAATCGCTGCGCGTAGCCGGCGCTCCGCTTCTGCTAGCCGCCTTTCGGCCTCAGCCTTCTCGATAGTAAATCGCTCTGCGCGCTCCTCAAGTGCTCGCATTGTTGGAGAGGACACCGCTGACACAACGCCTCTCTGTCCACCAGGAGCTCCATCTCCCACCTCCCCCCTGTTCAGGCTCTCCCTAATGCGCTTTAGAGGTGTCGGCGCCATGATCAACACATGGACCAAACACAGTCGTTATCTCCTCCTCCTGCTACCCCCACAACCCCTCCCCTCCCCCCTCCCCCAACCCCACCCCACCCCACTCGTCAGCCTCCCTGCTCCTCAACAACCTCGCCTCTCGCCTCCCTTGGCCCTGTTGCCCTTTTATGGTGCGATCCCCCCCTCCCTCTCATCATTCCCTGTTACGAACACATAAGGTAGCGCAATCCCGTCCACACCTCTCTCTGCCCACGTCCCTTGCTAGACAAGGGTGCTGCTAAGCGACCACTCAAGATGCTGTGATAATACATTGAAAAATCTGAAGGATCCTTTCATCACCCGAAGGGTGGTCCTTTCTTCATCCAAAGGTGGTCCTTTCTTCATCCGAAGGGTAGTCCTTTCTTCATCCCAAGAGTGGGGTCCTTTCTTCATCCCAAGGGTGGGGCCCTTTCTTCACCCCAAGGGTGGGTTCCTTTCTTCATCGGCAAGGGTGGGGTCCTTTCTTCATCAGCAAGGGTGGGGTCCTTTCTTCATCTGAAGGGTGAGGTCCTTTCTTCATCCAAAGGGTGGGGTCCTTTCTTCAACAGAAGGGTGGTCCTTCGTCACTCGGCGGGTGGTTCTCGATTCATCCGAAGGGTCCTGTCAGCATCCACAGGTTTGTCCTTTCTTCATCAGAAGGGTCATTTCGTCAGCCAAACGGTTGGTCCTTTCTTCAGCCAAAGTGTTGGTCCTTTCTTCTTCATCCAAAGGGTCATCCTTTTTTCACAGGCCTGTATGCAATGATACACTGAAGACTTCAATCTGGTGCAGCGAACGACAGATGACGCAAAGCCCGAACCTGGAAGACGGAAAGAGAGGGAGAGGGAGAGAGAGAGAAACATCAATCGAGACGATATCCAGCGAGATTTTACAGAGCGGCTAACCCCCTTATGTTATTGTATTTATTTGATTTCTTCTCGATTCGGGCTCCTGATCTGTTTATCAACAGAGTTACATGTGTCTATCATTCATTCAAAAGAGTCAAAACCCACATGGGCTGGGCATCATTACTTCTCCATGTCAATTATCTGCACAGAACAGAAAGATTGCACACATTAGCAGCAACTGTAGTACTCGTAAATACTAGTATTTCCAGTATTATTACCAGTATTACTAGAATTACTGGTATTACTAGGACCCGCTAAAGTTATTGTACTCATCTGATTTCATCTGGACTCGAACTCCAGATCTGTTTACTAAGACTTCCACGTGTGTAAAGATTCTTAAACGCACAACAACTGGATCCATCTTCCTTATACACGACTCACCTCACGTTGTTATTATTATTATTATAGTGATAATAAAAGACTAAGTAATATCGATATGATTCCATCGGGATTCGAACTCCAGATCTGTTTATCAAAAGTTACACAAGTATATACCATTTCAGAGCCACCACACTGGTCTGGGTATAAACAGCTTGTCCATGAGATTACCCGCACAAGACTACCGTTGTCACCCGAAAAGAGTGCCCGGTCATTATAGCTGTATTTGGAGCAACTTTCAGCCTAGATACAATGATAACGACCGGGCAATTTCTTCCGGTTGGACGGATAGACAATATCCAAAGTACTGCTGTGTTCACCCGAAAAGAGCGCCCGGTCATTATAGCTGTATTTGGAGCAACTTTCAGCCTAGATACAGTGATAACAACCGGGCATTTTACTCCGGTGAAGACCGTAGTGATTAGTAGTACAACCTATCCCATGTGGCTGCAAGGCACACCCATGAACTGTCAATAAGCAGACCAGGGGCTCAAATCGAAATGAGACTTGAGTTTGAAACACGCCCAGCACCTCATCCCTTAAAAGAAGACACCAGGGACGAGGTCCCACCCCTTCAGTGAGAAACCAGGGACAAGGTCCCACCCCTTTAACAAGGTCTCAGACCCTTAACAAGGTCCTACCCCCCTTAACAAGGTATCACCCCCTTAACAAGGTCCCACCCGCTAAACAAGATACGCAGGATAAGGTCCTTCCCGGTCTCACCCCCAAAACGGGGTCTCAGCCCCCTTAACAAGAACCCAGGGACGAGGTCCAACCCCCTTAATGACAACCCAGGAACAGGTCCCACTCCCTTAAACTACCTGTCCCTCCAAGCCTCGTTTTGCTCCAACCTATGAGTTCACAGCAGGTTAACCAGCGGATTTCCAGCAAAAGTAGCTGAAAAAGGGACAGGCGGTTTAAACCTCCAGTACATTCGAGAAAGGAGATCGAGCCTCTCCTGAAGAGTAGGAGGCCATGAACCACCGATTCGTTTTATCTAAGGGTCCATGGCCTCCAAATTTTTAGGAGAGGCTCAATCTGCTTTTTCAGATACACGGGAGCCAGTTCACCTGAAGCAGAGTATGCGGCTCGCACCGCCGCATTTCGATTCAGGCCAGGGACAGTAGTGAAAGCGGCAGGCCACTTTCGAAAGGCGCAGTTGCAGGTCACAAGCCTTGTGAGGTCGCTGGGTAAAGGCATCCCTCCCACCAGGACCTTTTTTTGTGTGCCATCCTTGCGCAGGGCCTCAGTCGCAGGTTGCGAGCCTTGTAGGTAGCTCGCTCAGTGCATCCTCACACCAGGACCTTTTTCTTTTCTTTTCTTTTCTTTTGATTTATGTGACAAGCACTCAGGACCATTGCCCTACCAATGAGCAGGCATCTTTGACCGAACAGCAGTGATAGGCACCAGGGCTGATAGGTTGCCCAGCCCTGGTGGAAGCGGAATCGGACAAACCTTGTCGAACGGGAACTTCGGATGCCAGGCCCAGACAATCTACTACAGGCCCCAAGAGACTATGGACCCTAGGTTCAGACAGGGTAGCACCCACTGAAGCTATCTTACCGTCCTTCCCCTAGCTTACCCAAGGCCAGGCAGAACTCGCACTGGCCTGAGCGACTTATATCCCTACCCTCACCCTAGGGTCTAAGCCTTATATATAGCCACCAGACAGTTCTATCCCACTGCAGATACTAGACCCCACCCAGTGACCAGACCCCCCCAGCCTGATATTTAGTTGTATGTATGTAGGCACCCGGAAACTTAGCCCGTAGGCGATGTGTAGTTCGCAAGCTATGTGTATACCCGAAGGCTGTGTATGCTCGGTGAATCTATGTATCGAGATGTACAGACAGCATCATGTGTGGAAACTGGTGTATGTAGCCCGTAGGCAATGTGTAATTTGCAAGCTATGTGTATGNCGTAGGCAATGTGTAATTTGCAAGCTATGTGTATGCCTGAAGGCTGTGTGTGCTCTGTGAATCTATGTATCGAGATGTACAGACAGCATCATGTGCGTATATGGAGGAGAGAACGGGGCAAGCTGGACAAGGACCCCCCCCAAAGGTCCGAACCAAGCTAGAACCCGTGACCTTGTAACATGTAATCAAAGACTCTACCGTATGAACAACGATCGGAAATGGCACGAACGTGTGATATGCCAGACTGGGGAGATCATCAGAACACCCAAGACCAACACCCCCAAGCGCCCCCTGCGGAACCCAGAACCAACATACAACACTGTGGACTATCCTTAGGTGGTGCGCCGGCAGTGTCTGTAATAGTACCATGCGTCAGCCCAATGGAGTGTATGTCCAGCCGTGCATCAATCTAACGCCCTGCCGTTGTCCACGCGCAAGGCTGCGGGGTTTTGAACCAGCACCCTTAGACCACAATGCGCATTTCCAACGGGTGCTCTAACCACTGAGCTACATCAACTGGACTCGCGCAGGAGCGCAGTCGCAGGTCATGAGCCTTTAGGAAGCTGGCTCCGGGCATCCTCACACCAGGACCTTCACTTCTTTTTTTTTTTCCTTTTTTTTTTCTGGCTTTATGTGTGTCATCCTTGCGCAGGGGCGCAGTTGCACGTCACGAGCCTTGTAGGTAACTGGCTCAGAGCATCCTCGCACCAGGACCTTTTTTTTTTTTTTTTTTTGGGATTTATGTGTGTCATCCTTGCGCAGGGGCGCAGTTACACGTCACGAGCCTTGTAGGTAACTGGCTCAGAGCATCCTCACACCAGGACCTTTTTTTTTTTTTTTTTTGGATTTATGTGTGTCATCCTTGCGCAGGGGTGATGCTAATCTTCTCTGTATTGTTCCAATTCTAAAGGACACCAAAAGGCCACTGACTCAGGGCATCCTCACACCTGGACGCGATTGCGGTCAGGTGCATCCAGGCATATGCCTGTAAAGGCGGTCCAATACATCCAGGAAAGTCCTCGCGTGAGTATCACCTCAGCAATGAGAAATCTGGGTACTGAGTGGGACCTCACCCTTCACAGCTGAATGGCGGCCGGCCTTTGCCACGTCCATGGGTGTTGAGTGTGGTGTGCGTCGAGTTGGACACTACAGCCTTGCAGGAGTGGGTTGGATCCAATCCCAGCCTTGCAGGGTTGGGGTGGATCCAATTCCAGCCTTGCAGGGGTGGGGTGGATATCATGACCGGTATGGTTCCACTTTTGAACACCGCGCCCTTTTTTATTTTCCTTTAGATTTTTTAGGAAAACTTCCATTCCCCGGGGATCACTTAACCAGGTGATAAGAGCAGCCCAATTAACTGGAAACGGTGTTCGGGAGTGGAATACGGAGTCCTGGCTGTAGTGGTTAAACCACCAGTACTTGGCCCAGCTATCGGCCGCGGCGCTTTCCCGTTAACACGCCGCGCCTTTACGGCTTCGGCGTATCGGACCACAATGGCTGGAAGCGCCAGCCAAAAGAAAAACGAAACGGTACCGCGGCGCTTCGGCAAAAATTGGCGCGCAGGGGATTCCAGGCTCGGCATCGATAGCTGGGCCAAGTACTGGTGGTTTAAGAGACTTGTTAAGTTGACGGGTGGGGACCACTTACCCAGGTGAAAAGAGAAGCCTCGTTAAGTGGTACCGGGCGTTGAAGGCCCCATCTATTGCTGGGGACACCGTGTCATGGCTGCAGTGGTTAAGAGACTTGGCTCTTGAGGACGAGGTCGCCGGTTCAAATCCGTGCTTGCACGGAGGAGGGCTTACGCCCACATGTACGGATCCATAACTACTACTACAGCACTACTACACCACTACACTACTTGCAAAACAAAACCAAAATAAAAAGAAAATGAGTGCATCTCCCCATAGAAGGTGGTGAGATACATCTGTTACTATGAGTAGCAGCGGATGTATCTTACCACCTTCTGTGGGAAGA